ATACTTAACTCAAAGTAGAAATAATCAGAATATTTGAAATTGAAACATTCACTGAGGTCACTTGTGAGACATTTGAAGGCAGCCCTGTTTAGGAAAAAATTTAATGTTTGAACTTTTATTGTTTTAGTGTTCTGTTGGGAGCCTCCCAGAGTGGCTGGGGAAACCCTGCCAGATGGGCGGGGTATAAATATTATTATTAATATTATTATTACTTGGATGATGTTGCGGTGCATTCTAGCAATGCAACTGACAATCCGACTGAGTGATAGGTATGGCTTCGTGTCAGAGGTAGCTTGGTTCTGGAACAGGTCAGGTGGGTGTCCTGCCCACACCCACCCACCCACCCACCCACCACTAAATCCTGGCTACGCCCATGGCCTTAGACAAACCATTATATATACTTAGCATACCTCCTAGGTAGGGACAATAATGGTCCTGGCATAAGAGTTGGGCCTGTTGAAGTAATGATTGGTACAATTATCTGTGAAGCACCTTGAACCCTTGAAATGCTTGTCTAAACAAAGCTATTATTCATAACATATATTTGGAGTACTACTGATGGATTGTGACTGGCAGTACATGTGTGGACTGGTGGGAAGGCCCACAGGCTGTTCAAATCCTTGGCCATGTATTCAACATGTACTCTGAGCACAGATATGCTTTGCACATACTGGATGTTGTCCCTATGGATGGAGGCCAGACCACCCAATCTCAGAGTGAGCAGGTTCTTACCTCACTGAAACAGTCTCCCTAGGTACAGCACTATAAATCTCCCCCATAGGAGTAATTCCAATTAATCTTCCACCATTTCCCTTTCTTTTCTCCGTAACGGTGCTTTATTCTTTATTTTCGTCCCTGCCCACAGGGTTGTGATCTGTTTTTTTTCAGCCTTCCCCATTCTGGCACCATTCAGATTCCATGGATCACAACTCCCACTAATCCCTGTCCATTTGGGCTGATCCGGAGTTCTAGTCCAAAAATCTGGAGGTTCACGGAATGGCAACCAAAATGACCCAAGGTGGAGCAATTCATCTATGACAAAATGTTGCAGCATTTGGGACTTTTTCATTTGAAGGAAAGGCAAGGAAGAGGCGACATGATAGAAGTTTACAAAACTATACATGGAATGGAGAAAGTGGAAGGAGAAAAAGCTTTTCTCCCTCTGTCATAATTCTAGGACCCATGCACACCTGGTGAAGCTGAATTTTGGAAGATTCCGGGGAGATTTTTAAAATTATTCGTTCTATGGCAGAGTTAAACTATGGAACCCACTCCTGCAGAAGGCAGTGTTGGCCAACAACTTGGATGGCTTTAAAAGAGGATTGGACAGATTTATGGAGGATGAGGCTATCTGTGGCTTCTAGTCATGACGGTTATGTTCTGTCCTCACTGTCAGAGGCATGACTCTGAATACCAGTTGCTGGAAGCTGTAGGTGGGCAGTGCGCTCTTGTGTTCATGTCCATCTTGCAGGCTTCCCATAGGCATCTGGTTGACCATTGTGAGAGAAGGACGCTGGACTAGATGGGCAATTGGCCTGATCCAGTAGGCTTGTCTTATGTTCTGAGGATGCAAGAAAGGCTTTGGTGTTTTAGTTTTTGTACAATGCTTGGGAATTTTAAGAACAAGGATAAATAAAAGTAAGGGTACAGTTAAGGTGGCTCCACATTTAAGCAGGCGTTTGTCAACCTTATCTGCCAATGTCAGTGGGTCCTCCCAGCATCAGGCTCATGACTGCCATTTTAAATTTGCCACAACATCCTGGAGAGTGCAGTTTAGTCTCTCTCCAGGGCACAGTCAGAAATCAAGATGGCTGGTCCTGCTGTTCTATCTATCTATCTATCTATCTATCATCTATCTATCTATCTATCATCTATCTATATACACATAGATTTTTTAACATATCACTTCCAACAGTCATACAACATATCTTCTCATCTTATACAATGGTTTAGACTTCTGTCAACACCTCTGATGATTTTCCGTTCTTTATCACTTATTCTGCATTTCTTAATTTTTATATTGCATTTAATTGTCCTTAGCTAATAATTCTTTTCATAGTCTTTCTTGTAATACAGTGGTACCTCAGGTTACATACGCTTCAGGTTACATACGCTTCAGGTTACAGACTCCGCTAATCCAGAAATAGTGCTTCAGGTTAAGAACTTTGCTTCAGGATGAGAACAGAAATCGGGCTCTGGCGGCGCAGCAGCAGCAGGAGGCCCCATTAGCTAAAGTGGTGCTTCAGGTTAAGAACAGTTTCAGGTTAAGGAACGAATTAAGTACTTAACCCGAGGTACCACTGTATTTCAGATAATCCACTTTACAAAACTTCTTGCAGTCCTACTAGCGTAATCTGTTCATCACAATTACTTTTCAAATAGTTCATATATTTACTCCAGTCCTCTAAGAATCTCTGATCCCGCAGGTTTCGAATCCTTCCTGTTAGTTTATCTAATTCTGCTTAGTCCTGATGGGTTCTACGGTTCAAAGTGCTGGGCGCTGATACCAGGCCTGCTTAGGAACATTATTGGGGAGGAAGGAAAATGTGTCCTCCATCCCCTAGTGTTTCCTCTGCCCAAGCAACTTTCCCCGCCACCCCAACACTTGGTTCCACATTGCAACCCATTTATAGTAATATCAGCACGGTCCCCTCTGCTAGACTGAGATAGAAATGCTGGGATAATGAAATGATATACTAATAACTTTCCTTCATATAGGTAACCATATTATAGTTAATCACATATATTAAGGATAATAATTATGCTTACCAGTACAGTGATGCTAATGGTATGCTGTATAAAAACACGTGCTATACAGTCACAGCAGCAGCATCAGTGGTATGATGGAACTCTCTTACTATTTTATTTATTAATTAAATGGGTATACTGCCCTTCATCCAAAAATCTCAGGGTAGTTCATAACATAAAAATACAAAATAAAACCAGAAAGTGCACAATGGAAACAAGAACAAATCAAACCAATACTGTTCCCCCTTCACAAACACATTTAAAAGATATCAGGATTCACAAGACAGAGAAACCAGGAGGTCTTCAGTCTCCCAAGTCATTCTATACAAGATCTCAAAGTAGTTGTCTTATTACAAAAGAATTTCAGAAATAGACTGGAAAGAGAAGTTGCTGAGTTGCAACTTATTACCAAACTTAAAACCATGGAGAGACCTGGTCTGAATAGACACATTGGATTCTTATCTCATTATACATGATAAAGCTATTTTTAGCCTTCTCACACATTGCTTTTTCCTGTAAGACCAATTGCAGTCGTTAACAGTTGTCAACAGGTTTACCATACCTATCAGCCAATCACCCATTCCCACTACCCTTCTGAGTAATACCCCTCCCCACCCTCTCACTATATATAAGGGTCTGGTGAATTCTGTTTCAGTGTATCTGAAGAAGTGTGCATGCACATGAAAGCTCATACCAATACAGTGGTACCTCGGGTTAAGAACTTAATTCATTCTGGAGGTCCATTCTTAACCTGAAACTATTCTTAACCTGAGGTACCACTTTAGTTAATGGTGCCTCCCGCTGCTGCTGCTGCGCAATTTCTGTTTTCATCCTGAAGCAAAGTTCTTAACCCGTGGTACTATTTCTGGGTTAGTGGAGCCTATAACCTGAAGCATCTGTAACCCAAAGTACCACTGTAACTAACTTAGTTGGTCTCTAAGGTGCTACTGGAAGGAATTTATTTATTATTTTGTTTTGTTTCAACATTTAAAAGGACATAGACTTAAGAGTGCGTTAGCTTTTTTAGCAGATGTACCACATGGGTGGATCTTGTTCACTTTGCTATCAGCTGCAACATCTTGATCCTCTTTTGCACGTGCATCCTATTGCATTCTGTATTTTTTTTATTTTAGGTAATGTAAATGCTTAGTAGCCCATGCTAATGAAATAAAGGCCTGTCCAATAAAAAACACCACTGGTATGCTATCTGTTAATGCCACCATGATGTGATGTGCAGCAGTTCACCCGTTCTCTCTTGATGGCGCGTCGATGGTGCCATGCCGCATGCTGATGGGTGATCACCATTGTGCAGAAACAAATCTGGCTGGGTGTTACTGGGATGTGTGAGGCACACTACTGGTAGCTCACAACACAAAGGGTTTCTGCTGCGTTATTCCAACAGCAGCCGCCAGACTGTGGCACAAGGATGCCTCTGCCACCCTCTGCTCCTCACACTCGCTCTTGCACTAGTGCAAAGGCGTGTGACCAGCAGCTTAGCGGCACGAGGTGCCAGGATGCTCGCTCAGGTGAAGCTGGGGTCACGTGGCGGGCTCACTCCCGAGTCACGTGGCCGCGGGCTCACTCCGGGCTCTTCCCCCTCCCGCGCGCCACCTCTTCCCCGGCGTGGTGACCCCCTTCCCCTCCTCCCCTCAGGGAAGGATGTAGTGCCGGCTGGGGGCGGCGGAGGGATAAGCGGGCGGCTCCGCGTTCCTCTCTCTCCGGCCCCAGCCGCAGGGCGCGGCGCCTCCTAGCGGAGCCGGGGCAGATCCCGCCGCCGGCTGCCTTTTCTCGCGAGAATCCCCCCACTCTGACAGGGTTATGTAACCCGCTCCCCTCACCCACCCACCTACTTTTTTAAAGGGCCCGCTTCTCCTCACGCCGGGAGGGGGGCGCGACTGAGGAAAAAAAAAAAAGGAAGTCCCATTGCCGGGGTCCTGCCTCCTCCCGGCTCAATGCCCCTCACAGGAAGGGGGGGCGTGTGCGCCCGTGCCCGCGAGTCCCCCTCCTCTCCGGCCGGACAATGAGTCCCATATGCTAATGAGCGCCCCGCGTCACTTCCGCTCTTTCTCGGCCGCCATCTTGGCCAGGGCAGGTTCTGGGCAGGAGGGACCCGGCTGTATTGTCTGCAGGGCGCCTAGGGAGCCCCCCCTCCCCTTCCCCGCGGCCCGGAGCCCGACGCCCCTCGCCCCGGTGACGGAGCCGCTGCTGCCGCCGCCGCCTCCTCATCCCCGCTGAGGGCCCAGCCCCCGCCCTGCCCCCGCGCAGCCGGCCCCCCTCGGCGCAGCCCGCCATCCAGCCCCCTTTGTCTCCCCCGCACCACCGGCTCCGCTGCCCGCCCGCCCTGCCGGGAGCCGCTAGTAGGAGCAGCAGCGCCGCCGCCGCCACCGCCGGGGGAAAGAGCGCCCGCCGCTGCTGAGGAGGGAGCGCGAGACCCAGCCAGGTAGGTGCTTGAGCGCGCGCGGGAGCCCCGCGCAACCCTCCCTCCCTTCCCTCGCCCTCCCTTCGCTGCCGCCGCCGCCGCCTGCTTTCTTTCTCCTCCTCCTCCTCCGGTGCAGCCGGGCCCGGCGGCCTCCGATGCTCGCATCTTTGCACATGCCGCTAAGAAGCACTCGCTCCCGGTCCCTCCCTCCTTTCTTCCTCCTCCTCCTCTTCATCTCCATCCGTCCGAGGCCGGGTTGTAAGGCGCGGGAGGACGCCTCCGTAGCCGGCTTCCCTCTCCCTTGCTCGCCTTAACTCCGGGCGCCTCTCCGTTTGCATCGCGCTCTCTCGCTTTCTCCTCCCTACCCCACCTCACCTCCCGTTCCTTGCAGGGAGGCGGCACATGGATGTTGCGCCCGCCCGCGATTGCATGGGCTGCATCGTGGACCGATGAAGGAGGGAACGAACGAACGAGCCGGGCGGGCGGGCGTGGGGGGTGGGCAAGAGGATGGCGAATGCAGCCCGTCCGCTCCGGCATGCATGCTCGGAGATTCGCCTTTTCCTCCAGCATGTGCGCTGGAAAGAGAGGAGGTGCGCGGGGGGAAGGAGAGGAAGCGAGGAAAGCCCCCTTACGACTGCAGAGTTGGCGCTGGAAATTTAGAGCAGGCTGCGGTGCAATGAATGGAGAACGGCCGCCTCCTCTGCGACCCCCCCTCCCTTTCCTACTTAGAGGTGTCGGGTGTACTGGAAAAGGCGGGATTCGTAGCTGTAGCAGAGTAGCAGCTCCAAGCGAGTAACAGGCACCCATCCACCCCCGTAACTCTTGTTTACTGCATCCATCCCGCGCAGTAGTTCTTCTAACCTATATTTCAGACAAAGAAGAGGGAAAAGGAGGTTGTCTTTGCTTCTGTCGCAGACAAACACCACCACCAGGCACTTTTCCCTCTAACGTGCCTTTCTACTCCGGTGCTGTGACTATTTATGTATTTGTCCGTCTCCCCCATCCCCAGTTCAGTTTTACTTAGGCGTGTGCGTAATCAGCGCGTGGCTTCATGTTAAAGCTACCGTTGCTTGGGGTTTGTGGCCATCGAAGGAAAAAAATACCAGCCCCCACCCAAACTGCACCGCAGCCAAGTCGGTGGAATGGAGAAATGAGCATGCAAGTCAGTAGGGGGCGCATTCTTTTCACTGGGTAAGGCTGCTGCAGAGAGGGGGGGGAGGGCCCCAGATGCACGGAATGGAGTTGCCACACAGCGCCTTCTATAGGCCTGGGAAAATGGGCCTATCACTGCAGGCTCAGTTGCTCTGACAGCAGCACAGGCAAAGATTTAAGAGAGCAGAGAGCATTGATTTAAGGAATCTGGCCACTTCCATCTGGTTTCCTGGAAAACGATGACCAAAAGTGTCATCCTGATGTGGTACCTAAAATCTCTGCCGTTCTTGATGCACCTTACCTCCCTGAAGCTTTTGCTAAAAGTCATGGAGGTTGATTGTGTCTGTGCCACTGAAGCAGCTTGATGGTAGTTAAGAAGTTGCTTCCCAAAATCAAGGTGGTGATTTAAAGGAAGGGACGTAACTACAATGCAGTGAGGATGCTTTAAGCCTTTTCTAGGTTTAACATTAAACTTTGTTCCAGGTTTGAACATAAAACTTCATGATGAGTAAAGGAACTACACTTCAACTCATTTGTGATTGGGGATGCCATGTATATTATTTACTTGCATGGCTGTTTCTTGTGGGGTGCAGTTCATGATAATAGAGATTGTTAGGAATTTCCAAATATGCATTGCCTTTCCTCAGGCACTGTTTTTTGTTGAAGAAGTATTGCAGATATCTGTGACAATTAGGAGATAAAAACTCGAGTTCTTGGGAAAAACAAACAACTCCTACATGTTCATCCTGTGGCACCTGCCAATTTTATTCTCAGAATTTCAATGTTTAGTGGAGGCAATGTGTCAGATAAAGAAAAATGCCACATGTGCAGTATGGTGTGACCTACATTTACATTATTAACTCCCTCCCTGATGTCATGCTTTGTGTTATAAGAGTACTAAATTCAGGTTTTTGTCCCAGGATCTCAAACACCACTTACTTCATCTGGACAAAAGTGGTTTTATGTGCTCTGGTGATAGATGCTAAAATGAACTGAGAACTAGGCAGAAGCTTTAAAAGCTTATTTAAAAGATAGCTGCTTAAAAAGCAAGACCAAAATAAGTCTACTAACATTTTGTGTTTGTTCTAGAGTGTTTTGATGGGAACTGGAAGCAGTTGGATAGCAACCGATCAACACATTTATTGCAATGTGCAATGAAGCCAGAGCATCCTAGAAAAATGAAAGAACCATAGCTTCCAAGTATGTCTGGTTGAGGTTGCTTCCTTGAACTATGGTTGTTTAAAGAGTTGGCAGTGTTTTCAGTGTCAGGAGTATAAATACCTGTCAGGAAAGATGTGCATTTTATCACAGTTAATGTACTCTACAGTTAAAAGAAATACTGTATTGAACTTAATTCATACAATATCCACCACACTTGTATGATTCTGTAGGAATTCATCCTACTTAATATTTTCTTACATGTGCTTTCCCGCCTTAATGTTGAGAAACATTTTCATTCCGTTTCTGCTTGATTTTTTTAAGATTTAGAAAGTTTCAGCTGTGATAAATATGCCAACTGTAAATTTGACATATTTGCTTGCTGGAATATTTTGGACAACTGTTCTACTCCAGTGGTTTAGTAACCGATAAGGAATCGTTCTGATAGGTCATGAAACCCACTTTGAGTTGATATGATTCAATTTAGACTCTATTCCCCCCCTCAAACACTTTCATACATGTTTAAAATTACAAATGTTGGAAATCCCAGGAGAGATAATACTACATAGCCTAGTTCTGTATTGCATGCTGATACTGTGATGTCTAATAAACAAAATGCTAAAACCATTTTACTTGAGTTTCAGCATGTGGTGTCTTGAATCCTATTCTACATGCAGAAAACTACTCAGCTACAGCTTATTTTAAAGTCAAGTGTTGTCGGTTAGTAATGGCAGAAAGTAGAAAATGTGTCATGAAGCACACATTTTTTGCAGGTTTTGTAATTTTAAACAAATTAGAGTGGTGTCATCAAGAAAAAAATAAATGCACAGGAATTCAGAAAGAGTTATTGACCGTTGCTGCAGAAAACCCCATCCCCAGGTAAAACCCAAATATTTTGAACTTCCCAAAGTGTAGGAGATGAAAAAAAAACCAAAGATGGATTTTCTTGTAGTGCTCTCATTTGATGCAGAAAGTTCTGTAATCGTTGGAAAAGGATTGTGCATAGTGTGTGTGTGTGTGTGTGTATGTGAAACACTTTCATAAACAAGTACTTCGTTGGCTCCCTGCAACATCAGTCACCTGGAATGGGATGGGGAGCACACATTTCTGTTCTCAACTCTTAATTGTAATTTGAGATGGGCAGGCAGAGCCCTCCTTTGCCTACAGTTAGTGCAGAGCAATACTTGAACATTTCAGATAGTTGTGAATGAAATATGCACATCTCAGTGCTCGGGGCAGTGGCTTTGAGATATTTAAGATACAGTACTTTTAACTGCAATGGTTAAAAAGATTTGGATTGAAACTTGCAGTGTTTGTATGTCAGTTTGGTAAAAATCCTGGGTACAGCCTTGTTTTATGATGCAGGCTGCTGGTGGCAAAGTTTAGAGCAGTGTACATCTTTTTCTTGCACAAGGCTGTGGATGCAATTCCTTGTTTCTCCAGTTGAAGAATCTTCTGCATCGGAGCAGGGAAATACCTCTGCCTGAGACATTAAGAGTTATTACCCATTGTAGTGGGATGCATAGTGAAGCAGATCTGACTTGTAAAATGCAGCATTGTTTTATTCTTATTCTTATTCGATGGATTGTAAATGGACATTAAGACCAAAGCAGAAAAAAATCAGTATCAGGTTTGAAGATCTGCTGTCAGGCTGCAGTTACACTTACCTGGGGGACTCAGTAAGACTTGCATCTAAGTAAACATGAATAGGATTGTGCTGCAATTCACTTGAAAGGCCAAAATTAGAAGTACATTAAACATTTTACTTGAACTGTATACATGACAGAGCACCTGATTTTTTGCCAGTACACTCCAGCAAGTGAAGACATCTATCCCATTCAAAAGTTTATCATGAGGGTTGAAGGACCCTCTGGTACAAAATAGGATATGATGTAGAGGGCTGCAATTAGTATGGGGTTTGGTGAAAATTGTGTGTTTTGCCTTAAAGTTATTCTGATAGTAGGCCACCACTGAATGCAACCTCATGCTTCCCTGAAGTAAGTCACTGTCAGTAAATAACTTTATATGGTCAGATCGGTGTAGTTATCAAATGATATTTGGTGTTTATATACTTTGCTTTTAGCTTCCATATCTGAATATAACCTATCCATATTTATTAAACAGAAAAAGCTGCAAAATGGAATTGTATTGTAATTTCAAAATAATTAAACAAGTATTAAGCAGTATGAAAGTGTGATCATGTACTGTACACAGTTACTTGTTAGCCTTCTTGAATTTACTGGGATTTGCTCAGTCATGTGTCCAAGCCAGTGTGCTTGAAGCCCTGAAGATTTGCACTGTATTTTAAAAGGGAGAAAGGAGTATTGAAACTAATCAGCTATGTGTGAGTGAATGTCTTACGCTTTAGCTTGTTCTGTTTTTTTTTTTTGTCTTTTTCAATAACCTTTTTACTGTCCATGTGCCTGTCTTCATCTGTTCCTCTCCTGTTTGATTCTTGATCTATATTTTTCTTTGTTGTTGTCACCACGGGACATAAAAACACAAAACAACATTTGTTGGATCCAACTGTCCATTCCATTATCCTGTTTGCAATAATACTTGCTTATGGGTGCTTATAAGAAACAGCCACAACTTGGTCCAAGAGGGGAATATACTGTATTATTGCTTGCTTGTTCAGGGGTGCATGTGCAATGTTCCTGTCTGACCTAATCATCCAAGCTTTGTTTTGCTGGAGAGTTTGAATGCTTGCTCTCTACAGTACTCCTCTCCTCACATACCCAGTTGCCAGAGTTCCTTGTTTGTTAAATAAGTTACCCCATGCAACTGGCTGAAGCACTCCCTAAGAGAAAATTTGCAACTCATGATCAGTTCAGACATCATGGGAAAATTGGTTTAACAAACCAGGAAGTGTCTTCTATAGCCAAGGGGTGGGGAGAGAAAGGAAGTGCTTGAGGTCATCAGTTATTCCTGCTTCAGTAAACCATAGTTTGGACTGGGAATTTTGCATCAGACCTAGCCAAGGGACTTGATAGCATAAAGGCCAGGGATACACAGAGGAATGCGTACCATAACTCTTTCATTGTGATTTTCCCCTGGTTAGATTTCTGAAGTCAGACATCTTGTAGCTCCCAAGTTACATTGGTCATTACTATGCTGTGAAAAGTATGCCTACTTTTCTTAAGTTCACTGCAGTATTAGACACCCTTATTAGGTACCTCATAGTTTCTAGGTTTTGCATTTGTCCTTAGTACCCACAACTTAGCAGTAGGGAAATAACATACAGTGGTACCTCGGGTTAAGTACTTAATTCGTTCTGGAGGTCTGTTCTTAACCGAAACTGTTCTTAATCTGAAGCACCACTTTAGCTAATGGGGCCTCCCGCTGCTGCTGCTGTGCCGCTGGAGCACAATTTCTGTTTTCATCCTGAAGCAAAGTTCTTAACCCGAGGTACTATTTCTGGCTTAGCGGAGTCTGTAACCTGAAGCGTATGTAACCCGAGGTACCACTGTGCAATTGATGGTCTAACATTTAGGGTTTTCCCTCCGGCATTTCTACTCTAATTTTTCATATGAAATCGTGGCTCCATAATGCTTTGTTTTATTTTTCTTCTACTTGTTCTTACACCCTCTCTTCTGCTGTCATAAATCATTACAGTACTATACTAGGTACCGTATGCCCTATTGATATACATAGAAACATTGATGTGTTCTGAATTATTTCCGGTTCCTTCCTTGTTAGAAATACTGTGTTAGGATAAAGTGGCTTTAGGCAGTGATTACAGCCAAAATAAGTACCGGTACTTTGTGTAAGACAGGTGTCTCAGTAGTTATTAGCCATTTATTGCTAAATGATAGCAAATGTCAGGGGCAAATAGAGGACGGACATTGTTTTCATGCCCTGCTTGTGCGTTTACAGGGATGTATGTCTGACCACTATCAGGAATAGAATACTGGAGATAGATAGCTCTTTAGTCTGGTCAGTAAGATACTAAAAATTTCCTTCATGAAAATTAATGAAAACAACCTTTAATTTCAGCATTGGGCAAAAATTTGTTAGGAAAGTCTATTGAGTAGTATGGTAAAATGTTTACAACAATGGGTAGAATTCAGTGTTGCACTCTTCCAGTTGCTCTATGTGTCCAAGCATTTCAGCTTGTCAATTGAAATACTCTTCCCATCTTTCCCTGCCTGCTATTCTGAGGGTCCTCCCTTGAGCCAATCTTGGTGGGCATATGAGCAGGAAACCCGGTTGCGCAAGCTGATGTTCTTGCACATGGCTTCTGCTGGTGGGGCTGGTTAGGTGATTCCCGCCCATTTTTTAAAATGGCAAGCTACTTTTTGCATTTTGTCTTTATTACTGTTTAGTAAAGCACCCAGAGAGCTAATTATGAAAGTCTGAGCGTTCAACATAAAACTATGTAGGGCACAAACCAGCCAAAGGTAAGCAGTTTGAAGTTGTACATGTTTGGATTGGGAGTTCAGCATTTCATAGAATCATAGAATTGTAGAGTTGGAAGGGACCCCCAAGTGCCATCTAGTCCAGCCCTCTGCAATGCAGGGATCTTTTGCCAGTTCCATCCTATATACAGTTACCTGGAAGCTAAGCCCCACTAAGTGTATAGAATTGCAGCCTTAAGCTCATGCCTAACTGTCCTGTTCAAAGTACTTACCTATGGCTAAATTGTTCTCTTGAGTATTTTACTTCTTTTACAGGGATTTCCACCCTGCTCTCTAACCCTAAATGGACTTTCAGAGCAGCCAACAATTAAAAACCAGTAATTTAAAGCAAGCATTTATTTAGCATGTCATGAGTGCCCAAAGCTATGTATGTTAAATAATTACAGTCACAGCAACCCTGAATTAACAGACTAGTACAGTGGTACTTCTGGTTGTACATGGGATCCGTTCCGGAGCTTTGGTCGGATCCCGAGGAATTCGCAACCAGAGGTGCCTGTTCTGCGCATGCACGTGGTGCGGTAAAGCACTTCTGCACATGTGTACGGCGCATAGAGCACTTCTGCGCATGCACGCAAGTTTGCCGCATGCGTAACCCAAAGGATACGCAACCAGCAGTGTGTGTAT